ACACGCCAAGCACCAGCAAGACAAGTAAAGCATTTTCGTTAAATCGCTGTGAGTATTTGCTTCTTTGATATTTTTCTTTCATAACTTAGTGCACAGAGTCGGAACTTAGTGTGTGTATGTGAGTAGTATATGCACGAGGGCCGTTCTTATCGCCCTGAATTGTGGAGTTTGGACCTTGAGCTAAAAAGGACTCTTAGGAAACTTAGAGCCTCTACTCCTGTTCCTAGGCTTGAATATCCATACCCATACCTCGAACCAATTGAGATGGCAAACTCGAATGGCCTAAATGGGCCCAACCGGACCCTTGAGGATTACTTCACACCCATTGCATATACATTACCATCATACATTCAGTTACCCGACACCACTACTGCTTATTATGAGATTAAGTCTAGCACCATACAAATGCTCCCATCATTCTATGGATTTGCTCATGATAACCCTTATAAACATCTACATGAATTTCTGAAAATTTGCTCTGCAACGAGGATCCAGAATTTCACCAATGAGGCTCTAATGTTGCGTTTGTTTCCATTTTCATTAAAGGAGAAAGCCAAACATTGGCTGAACTCCTTACCCGCTAATTCTGTCACAACATGAGACCAATTACAGCAGAAATTTTTGGAGAAGTACTTTCCCATTGGTAAGAACAACCAACTCAGGCGAGCCATCACCAATTTTGCTCAAATTGATGGCGAGCAATTTCATGAGACATGGGAAAGACTTCGTGACTTTCTCCAATAGTGTCCCCACCATCAAGTGCCTGATTGGCAACTTGTTCTAACCGTTTACTATGGCTTAACTGAGCATTACCACCAAATGGTGGATTGTTCTTGTGGTGGGACATTCATGTCCAAAAATGGCGCCAAGACATGACAATTATTTGAGAACTTAAGTGATAATTCCTTTCACCATGTCTCCGCAGCTCGGCAAGTCTGGCAACTAGTAGTTGGAGCCCCAAAAAGAAGGGGCATTTATGAGGTGGGGTAAAACCCAGAGTTAGCCCAACAAGTAGAGGCATTATCCCAAAAAATGGACTAACTATTAGCTGCGAGACATACCTCTACACAGCAAGATCAGCCTCAATTTCACGAGGCATGTGCTATAGGTGCGAGCCCTGTTCATGACTTGAATGAGTGCCCTTCGGTATCACAATTCCAAGAATTAGTCCAAGTGCATGTGCATGTGGCTCAAGGTTTCTTCAACCGAAGTAATAACCCATATTCCAACATATTCAATCTGGGATAGAGGAACCGCCCTAACTTTTCATGGAGACCTCCTTCACAAGGCACAGCTTACAACCCTCCACCACCAAGACAGAATTTTAATAATTTTGCCAACCAATCTTCTTACCGACCACGCAACCTTACCGACAACCACAATCCCAGCCTATTCCTCAAGGCAACTTTGCCTTGGAGACTCAGGTGTTGGAAGTTCTCTCAAAACTTAAGGGATTGGCACCAGTAGTTCACTTCCATACTCACTCCATTGCCAAACTAGAGGCCCAATTAGGTCACATGGCTAATAACATTAATATGAGAGATGAAGAAAAATTACCTAGTCAGACTGTAGCCAACCCTAAGGGTCAATATGGGGCAGAGGGGTCAAGTGGGAATAGAAAGTGCCATGAGCAGGTGCAAACGATGATTACCTTGAGAAGTGGGAGAGAGTTAGAGTCTCGGCCAATTACGTCTAATGCAATTAGGGCTAAGAATGGTGACCACGGTGGTACACCCAATAAGAGCAAGGGTGAGGGAGAAACACCTAAGGGGGATGACTTAGTCCCTAGCACTTTACATGAGCCTAAGGCACCATATGTGCCTAAGGTACCCTTTCCCTAATGCCTTGATACGCCGTCCCCTTTTAATAAGAATGCGGCATCCATGGAAGCAATGGTGGAGGTTTTAAATAAGTTAAAATCAACTTCTTCCTATTGGAGGCGATTAAGCAAGTACTTTCCTATGCTAAATTTTTGAAGGACCTTCGTATACAAAAGCGTAAATCTATGACACACATGTCCCAAAAGGTCGTACTCACAGAGCAAGTAAGCTCCATCTTGTTAAATGACACACCCTCTAAGCTTAAAGACCCAGGTGCCCCAACCATTGCATGCATTATAGAGGACCATTTCATTGATAAGGCCTTGTTAGATTTAGGAGCTAGTGTCAATTTGTTATCGTACTCTGTGTACGAATAATTCAGCCTTGACGAGTTGAAGCCCACTACTATTACTCTCCAGTTGGCTAACCGATCCCTTAAAATGCCATGTGGCATGATTGGGGATGTGCTAGTAAAGGTCGATAGGTTTTATTTTCCTGTTGACTTTTTGATTTTACATATGGAACCGGTAGTCAGCTCTAGCAAACAAATCCCGGTGATCTTAGGCCGACCTTTCTTGGCTACGGCCAATGCATGCATAAATTGTTGTATCAGGGTTATGGAAGTTTTATTTGGGAGTATGCAAGTGAAACTCAATGTTTTCCAAGCATCCCAACAACCCCATGAGAGAGAGGAGTGCTTATTTGTAGATGTTGTGGATAAGATTGTAGAGAAGGCTTTACCCTCCATTCTTATAGAGAACCCTCTAGAGGCTTGTCTAGCTCATTTTGGGTTTGAAAAATTTGATATTGATGGGTTAGTGGAGGAGGTGAATGTCTTAATTCTTCTTCTACACAGGATTTTCCTCCATGAAAAGCCTGATTTGAGACCCTTCATTCTCTGTCTCGAGAGCCCGCCATCCGATCCTTAGTCACACCACCTACACTTGAGTTGAAGCCACTCCCAGCCACACTCAAGTATACATTTTTAGGGCCAAAGGATACTTTACTTGTCATCATTGCATTTGACTTGACTGCAGAGCAGGAGAGTCAATTAATGAGTGTTCTTATAGCATATCGGAGTGCTATAAGGTGGTCGATGGCTGATTTGTGAGGGGTCGATCCCTCTGTGTGCATGTATTATATACATTTCCAAACCTTCTCGTGAAATGCAACGGAGGCTTAATCCCAATATGAAAGATGTGGTAAAAAATAAGGTGTTAAAATTGTTGGATGCGGGTATTATATACCCCATCTCAGATAGGAAGTGGGTGAGTCCCACACAAGTGGTACCCAAGAAATCAGGCATCACTGTTATTGAGAATGAGCGAGGAGAGTTAGTCCCCACATGAACCACTACTGGGTAGCGAGTGTGCATTGCTTATAGGAGATTGAATTCCATGACTAGGAACGACCATTTTCCTTTGTCATTTATTGATCAAATTCTTGAGAGGTTAGCGGGACAGGGTTTTTATTATTTTCTTAATGGTTACTCGGGGTATAATAAAGTCTCAGTGTACTCTACTGACTAGGAAAAGACCACTTTCACATGTTCTTTTGGCACTTTTGCTTATAGGCGCATGTCCTTTGGGCTATACAATGCACTGGCAACGTTTCAATGATGTATGATAGCCATTTTCTCCGACATGGTGGAGAACTTTTTAGATGTTTTCATGGATGACTTCTCTGTGTTTGGGCTGTCTTTTGAGGAATGTCTTCAGAACTTAACTAAAGTACTTATTCGATGTGTGGAGACAAACCTTGTTTTGAGTTGGGAGAAGAACCATTTATGGTTCACGAGGGTATAGTGTTGGGACATAATGTGTCCCATCGAGGTATAGAGGTTGACAAAGCTAAGGTTGACCTCATTACAGGCCTTCATCTACCCACTTTTGTGCGTCAAGTTAGGTCTTTCCTAAGGCATGCAGGTTTTTACCGTCGATTTATCAAAGACTTTAGCAAAATATCTCGTCCTTTGTGTAGTTTACTTGCTAAGGACGCACCCTTTATTTTTGATAATGCATGTTTGAAAGCATTTGAAACACTTCAAGCGACCCTTTCTACTACCCATATCGTGCAATCTCCTGAGTGGTCCTTTCATTTCAAAATCATGTGCGATGCATCTGATTATGCCCTTGGCGCCGTCTTAGGCCAAAGGGTGAATAAAGTGCCTCATGTTATATCCTATGCTAGTTGTACTCTTTCTGATGCTCAATTAAACTACACTACCATTGAGAAAGAGTTACTAGTTGTTGTCTTTGCACTTGATAAGTTTCGGTCCTACCGCCTAGGGTCTAAAGTCATTATGTTCATTGACCATGCCGCTTTGCGGCACTTATTGTCCAAAAAAGAGACTAAACCTAGGTTGATCAGGTGGATTCTGCTCCTTCAAGAGTTTGACCTAGAAATCCAGGACAAGAAGGTATCCAAGAATGTAATTGCAAATCATCTATCCCTCATCTCTATTGAGCACACGAGTGATCCCTTAGCTTGCATAACTCATTTCTGGACGAGCAACGTCTTGCAGTTTCACAAGCGACCCTCCCGTGGTTTGCTCACATAGTGAATTACTTGGCAGTTGGTCAAATTCTGAAAACTTGGTCTAAGTAAGACAAAGACTGATTTTTGTCACAAGTCAAGCTCTATTTCTTGGAAAATCCGGAATTATTCAAGTATTATCCAAATTAAGTGATTCGGTATTGTGTGCCTAAGAGTGAAACCCATAGCATTCTCACCTTTTGTCACTCTCATGCATATAGTGGCCATTTTAGTGGGCAGGAAAGGGCTGCCAAGGTTTTACAATGTGGGTTCTACTGGCCCTCTATTTTCAAAGATGCCCATAACTTCTGTAGAGCGTGTGAGCGTTGTCAATGCATGGGCTCTATGTCACAACGAGATATGATGCCGATGACCCCTATTTTGATTGTTGAGATTTTTTATGTTTGGGGCATCGACTTTATGGGTCCATTTCCACCATCTTTTGGATTTGAATACATTTTGGTAGCTGTAGACTATTTCTCCAAGTGGGTTGAGGCAGTGGCCACCAGAACGAATGACCACAAAGTTGTGGTTAAATTCCTCCACGAGACCATTTTTTGTCGTTTTGGGTTCCTACATGCCATAATTAGTGACGATGGCAAACATTTTTGCAATTGATTCTTCGAGGCATTAGTGCACAAATACATGACCACTCACAAAGTTGGCACTCCCTACCATCCCCAGACTAGTGGTCAAATAGAGGTGTCTAATAGGGAGGTTAAACACATCCTCGAGAAAATTGTGAGGCTCGATAGGAAATATTGGTCCACTAGATTGGTTGATGCACTTTGGGCCTATCGCACTGCACATAAGACACCCATCGGGATGTCTCTATATAGGATTGTGTTCGAGAAACCATACCATCTCCCTATTCAGTTAGAACATCGGGCTTTGTGGGCCATTCGGAAATTCAATTTTGATATTGCCAAAACCGGTGACCACCGGAAACTCCAACTTAATGAGTTAGAGGAGCTCCACAATGATGTATATAAGAGCTCTAAAATTTATAAGGCTAGGACTAAGACATTTCACAATAAACATATTTCTCGTAAGTCCTTCGAGCCTCACCAAAAAGTGTGGCTATTCAATGCTAAATTGCAGTTGTTTCCGGGTAAACTCCGGTTTCAGTGGGATGGCTTATATGAGGTTATAGAAGCCTTTCTGTATGGGGCAGTTGAAGTTAAAAATCCACAAGATGGTACGACCTTCAAGGTCAATGGCCAAAGCTTGAAACATTATGTGGATGGTACTGAGAAAGAGGAGATGATTGAGGTTGTCTGCTTGACGGACCCAATATATCTGCCATAGTAATTGCTTTGAGTCTAAGAGACTTTAAATCTTATAAAGGAGTAATTCCTTTTGTGTTTGTCATGCCCGAACGGTATCTGACGGTCTAGTTTAGCCACCTAACTGTGTTTGTAGTGAGTTCTTAAGAGACCAATTGAGACGGTGAAAACTAGAGTTTGAATGGTAAAGTCTAGAACGCAAAGGTTTGGAATTTCCAAGACTAGTGTCCAGTTTAAATACGCGGGGGTGTGGAGATTGCTTCAAAACCACCCTGGCTTGAACTCTGTATGGCTGCCCCCATAGGTCGAGTTAGCTTTAAGCACCTCGATTCTGGATACCGAATCAACCTAGTCTATCACCCTGTTGGAGAAAAAGGAAAGTTACAAGTATTGCTAGAGAGAGAAGTAGTACTCATGGTTTTCGCGTGAAGATTATAGCTTTGTTGAGCATTTAGATGTTTTTAAAGTGCTATTTTTTATTTTAGATGCGCATTAAAAGTAGAAATGGTTTAAATTTTTCTTTGGGTTGTAATTCGGTTTATTCATTTAAAAAAAAATCTTTGGGTTGTAATTGGGTTTGTAAAAAAAATAAAAATAAATTTGCCCTGACCGCACGTGCGGCCCACATGGGCGCATGAGCGGCAATCCCAGAAATGGGCACACGAGCAGAGGACAAGGCCGCATGAACGGCCCAGCCCAAATGCACATTACTTTAATGCCGCAAGAGCGGCCCAATTCCGTCGCTGAAGCGGCCAATAAATCAGCGCTCATGCAACCCATACCCAAAAAAAAAAAATGGAGCACACAAGCGGCCCAGGCCCAAAAGTATTCTGCGCAGCCGTCGCACGAGCAGCCCAAAAATAAGCGCTCGTGCAGCCCAATTGGGAGCACGAGCAGTCCCAAAAAAAAAAAAACCCTACAGATTTTATTATTATTTTTATTTACTTATTTTTTTATTTTTCATTAAAAAAAAACAAAAAAAAGGGGTAGTTACTTTATTTACTGTTTATTTATTTATTTAATTTTTATTTATTTAAAAAACATAAAATTTGTAAGATAAATAAATAAATAAAAACATGCAGATTTTATGTTTTTTTATTTTATTTATTTATTTATTTTTATTTCTTCACAAAAACAAAACAAAAAAAAATGAAAATTTCGTTGAGAAAAAAACTCTAGACCCACTTGTTGACCCTTACTTTCCCAATTACACACACTCTCTCTCTCAACCCCACAAACCCACAAACTCCATCAAACCCCACCATCACCAACTTCTTCTTCCTTCTTCCTTCTCCCTTCAACTTTCACTCGCCACTACCTTCCCACCGGAGCATCACCCTATTTTCCGACCAGCGACCTTCCAGCGGCCATTTTTTCCTACGGATCTACATCTTCTCTTCTTCCTTTCTTTTCTCCCTATTTTTTAAAGGTAATCACCTTCTTTTTGTGTAGATTTCTTAATTTTCACTTGTAATATTAGTCCATTAGTAGTTTAATGGTGATTTTTGAGCTTTGTTCATCATCATTGTCCATGATCTTCATCCTCATAAAATAAAAATTATAAATAAATAAACTAAACTGGGCGTGCAACCAATAGACCCCGCCGCACGTGCAGCCCAACCATTAAAAAAAAAATCAATAATAATAATAATAATCATAATTTAGCTTTGTAGCCTATTTTTCTATATTGCAGTTGTTTAGTTCAATTGTTTAGTTAGTGATTCTTGTTAGTCTAATTGGTTAGTGGATTGTTTTTATTTTGGTTTTAATTGTTTAGTTACTGATTTAGTTTTATTTTTATTTAGTGATTTAATTGTTAGTTTAATTGTTTAGTGGTTTAGTTTTTTTATTTTTATTTTCTGAATTTTTATTTTATTTTATTTTATTCTCTTCTACTAACTTAGATTATTTTATTTTATTTTCTTATTTATTTATTCCTTGTATTTCATATTTGTGTTTGTCAATTTGTCTCATGCTAACTTAGTGTAAGCTAATTTTTTGTAGTAAAAACAAAAAAGAAAAAAAAAACCACCTGTGGTGTGATGGCAATGAGGTTTTGAGTGATTTGTGTATGCATGCGCTATTTGATGAGTGCTGATATAATAGTTCCATGTTTTTGATTGTGTTGGTTGTGTCATTTTGTGCAGATATGTCTACATTATCCCACTGAGTACCCAAACGGCCTCACAATGCCAACATTGCCGCTAGGGATGTACCAACAAACACTTGGGCCAACAAACCAATTGCCTGTGTCACATCCTTTGATATGGACTTCTTCCGACGCCATCAACCCATTGCGTGGAGTGTCCGACAACTTAAAGATTGGGACCTCTTAGGCATCTGCGCCGTCACTGAACCAGCGTATCCTCGCGTTGAGTGTCTTGTATGAGAATATGTACATCAGTGACGAGGCCCCGAGAGCCTTTTTGTCCATTGTTGACGGAGTGGAGTTAGTGGTCACACCAACTTCTATTGCCAAGGTTCTCCACTATTCCATGGACAATATCAATGAAGAACAGTTCCCAGTGTTCACTCAAAGAACTCCCAGTCCCAACACTGGTGACTGAATTTTATGAGGGGCGACAGGATGATGACAACCAAACTAATATCCGGCGGGCTAACATATAACACCACCTCCTATTCCTTGATGTGATTCTAAAAAAGAATGGCATCCCTCTAGGCCACAAAGAAGAGCGGCGAGGGGACTTCTTCCGTGCCTTGCACCAATTTGACTTCGGGTTTTGGGTCGACATCCCTATTTTAATCTTCAACCAGATGTTCCGTATCCTTAATGAAGTCAAGTTACGCAACACCCAAGGTAGTTCTACATGGGCCCTCCGTTTTGCCAACCTCATCACTACACTCATAAAAGGCCAAGGGACATACCCACTCGAACCCAATGAGATTCAACTTTCGCCGCCAATATTTTATGGTAAACCCACTGGCGCCAAACCACTGCTCGCCTGCCTCCTCCACTACTCCTCCCTGATGCCCCGACCAATTCTAATGATGTTCCGGTAGAGCCCGTCGTCGCACCAACCCCAGTGTCACCGCCATTTCGTATGACGCGGGCGCAATATCAAGCTCTTTTTGATAATCAAGCTGCTATTCAGCAATCTATGGTTGATCTCCGGGCAAACTATTAGGCATATCGAGATCACTGGCAGATGGCCTTTAATGGGTATTAGCAGTCAGTTACATCTCTGCAAACTGACTTCTACGCATATTGGAAGTCGAGCCAGTAGTGGTTTGATCAACTTGGAGCTAGGGTTCATGATGAGACGGTCGAGACTCGAACGCTAATGCATGCCCTATTTGAGCAGCATTTTTCGCCACCGTCAGATCCAAATCGGTGATATCCGTTGTATTTTCTTTGTTTTAGTTATTTATTTATTTTTCTTTTGTTTTATATTATTTTATTTTCCTTTTATACTGTACAGTCCAAAAAAAAATGTGTGTGTTTGGTGTGTCCTTGCCTCGCTGGATGTGCGCCCACACCGTTTGGTATGATCCTCTCTCTCTCATTTTACTATCTACTTTCCACTTGCTTACATTGAGGACAATGTTGTATTCCAATTGGGGGGTGAGGGTTTTTATAAAAATAATTCATGTTTGTACTTGCTACACTATCACTTCGTGCCAATATGGTAGTGATATGAGCATATGTTAATTGGGGAACATAGTAGGCTTGTATGAAAAGGGTTTATTGGGTTGATACACTAGGAGAGTTGTTTGTGTTTGTGGTATTAGTACACTTGTCATGAGTATACCTTGATTCGCATGAACACACTTTCATAGCGGTGACCTCTCTATTCTAATCCTTGGTGTACATCATTGATAATTGTTAGTGTTGCAAAAAAGAATAAATGACAAGCCTTGATTCTCAAAATAAAAATAAACACTTGACTTGTTTGGGTTCGTAGCATCTTTAACTTGAGTTATTAAGTCCGTAGGGGTGTCTCTACACCTAATGGCCTAAAATCGTCTGGTTTGGGAGTCATTGGCCCAATACTTACTACATGGGTTAATTAGAAAACTTAGGGGACCTAGACATTGCACAGTTAAGAAAAAATATGAAAAATGACTTGTTCGGATGCATAGCCTTTTCAGCTCGAGTTATTAAGCCCGTAAGGGTGTCTTCACACCTAGTGCCCTAAAACCGTCTAGTTTGGGAGTCATTAGCCCAATGCTTATTACATGGGTTGATTAAAAAGCTTAATGGATCAGGACATTGCACAGTCTTTTCATAAAAAATAAAAAATAAACATTTTGAGAATCTTGATTACAAAAGTTTAATCTTGTTTGTATATGTTAGGGGTTATTATGAGTTACACCGGACTATTATAGTGGACAGTTAACTAGTATGGAGATTGCACTTTACACCATGGGTACTGATGATGTGTTTACTAGTATTTACAAGTACAGGGAACTTAACTTTTGTAATAATTGAATTGTGGTTTTTGCTCTATAGATTCCTTCATGCTTGTCCACTATGCCTTTAATGACTCATCATGTCTTAATATCACCCGGTAGTGGCACATAAGTTGATTGTTAGGTGGAATAGTGTGGTTAATTGTTATTGAGTAGATATGAATATGTTGATGTTTGTGGGTATCATTTCTAGAAACCCTCACGAGACTATACTCGTCTACTTGGGGTAACCTTGTGGTTTACAGACTTGTTGCATATGCTAAATGTAATCGTGATCCTTACGAAAGTAGCTTAGAGTTATTATTTTACTTTTCTTATTTTTTTTGTTTTGCTCGAGGACTAACAAAATGTAAGTTGTGGGATGTGATGTAGGCTGAAAGGTATCACATTGAGGTCGTTTAAGTTACATTTATAGTTTTTTAATTTTGTTTATTTGGTGGAGATGATATATTTTGTGCACTTGTACAGATTTGACAAGAAATATGCAAATTCAATTGAAAATGACGCGATAGCAAATTCTCTATGCAAGAAGCGAAAAATCCGAGCCAGCCACCTCACTGCACGCGCGGCCAAGCTCCACCGCACATGTGGCCCACCACTGCTCAAACAGCCCACATGGGCACTCGAGTGGGCCACCTAAGGATACGTGCACAGAATTTCGGGTTTGTTCTACTGAGAATAAAAGGAAGAAAAATAGGCTAACCTAGGGTTCGAAAATTATTCTAAGAAAAAGAGAAACTAGGGTTTAGGAGAGTAATTTTCCTCAAGCTTCAAGGAGAACTTTCATGGGGGCTTCCACCTCTTCCCACTCCTCCATGAGTGGCTAGGCTCTTCTTTTCTAAGGTTTTGATGAAACCCTAGCCATGTAAAAGGATTGTTCTTAAGCATTGATTGTGAATTGGTTTGAATTAATGTATGGATGATTTAGAAATTTTTAATAATTGTTCTTTTCATCTCTTCAAGTATTTTACTCTCTGTGATTGTTTAATACTTTCCATACAGTAGTTTTCTTTGTGTTTGTATTCAAAGTATGAGACAAGTCATGCTACGAGAGACACGTCGTATTCTACCATAGTTTAGAGCAAACGACTCGTGCTACTCGAGATTATTCGTGCCTGTACGTTGAACGAAACAACTCTCTTGATCAATATTTCAAACTTATAGTTGTGAAATATTGGGTATTTCAAACCAGATTGCAATTAATGGCCGATGTTAAATCTCATTTATGTGGTTAGTGGTGAATTCTTTGCCTTAGGATTTTTTTTCCAAAAATCAATATCTCAAACTCTACGTTTAATTGTCAATTTAATTTCTCAATTTCATTTAATTCTTGTTTATTCACAATATTTATTAATCTTTTCAATCAAAATTAATTTAGGAATATAGCAATTAAATTAATTTAATTTTACAATTGTTCCTGTGGATTGATACCTAGACTTGATATTATTTTAAAAGAATTTGGTATAATTTAGTATTTATATTTGGTATGTGAAACGACTCATCATTATCATTAATATGTAAACAATTTTTATAAGTTACACTGAAATAAATTTCTCCAAAAATAATTAATGTATGGGAGGAATCATAAAGTGAATGCAGAAGGATTAATTTTACCTAAACAAAGTAAAAATTTTCAGGCAAGGACTAGTTGCTAGGTATTTTTAGATGCACTGAAATATATCGAATCAAATCAAAAGTGTCCTAATAAACATAGGCTTTTTGTTTCAATTTTAGGGCCAGTTTTTTAAATTTTTGCTTGAAAAATATAAATTAGTTTAATAAACATAATGACAATGCTACGTAACTCAAATTTTGTGGCTCAAAAGTGGCTTAAATGGTCAAAACGATGTCGTTTTGAATACAGAACAACATAAAAATGGCCAAAACGACGTCGTTTTGGCCATTTGAGTCACTTTTGAGTCACAAAATTTGAACTACGAGACATTTTCCTAAACATAAACACTAAAAAGATATCGGTGTGGCCCGATATTTGTTTTGTATCATCACCAATAAAGTTTTTTTTTTTCACCCAAAAAAAAAAAAAAGAAAAAGTGAAACCAGATTTGCATATTAGAGAAGAGATAATGAAATAGAAAAAGAGAGCAAAGAGGCGTTAACGGAGGAGAGTTACCGAGATTTTTTTTTAAAAATAATAGACGCATGGAAAAATCAGAGTTATAGGGAGAGAGAGAAATATATGTTGTATATACAGTGCGAAGAAAATGAAATCAATGAACGGAGAGATCGTCGACGCAGTAGAGCCATATGGATGGCGGAGCGTGGTGTGTCAGTGCCAAGGTCTTTTTATTTTCTCTTGTTCTCTCTCTCTTGAGGTAATGATTTTAGAACCTGGAAAGAGGGCTTCTTAAATGACGATTAGATCTCAAACAACGATCTCGTTGCCGCCACCATCATTGAAGTCGAGAATTTGATCGAAGACTGTATGCAAAATCGAAGCCGAAGGTATGTGGTATGGAGATTAAGACGGATCAACAAAGTGTTGGATCATCGGACGAGATTGAATCGCCAAGGTCGGTAGCGAAGTTTGGGCAGTGGACTCCGAAGAATGTTGTTTACGTGCATAGCCAAATCTTGAGGATCAAAGATGAAGATTCTCACCTCAGTGAGGACTTCAGTGAAGTCTCTGGTTTTCTTCATCATCATCATGATCACCAGGAAGATTGGTTTCTCACTCATTGATCTTTCTTCTCTGTTTTCTCATTCACTCAGGTTTCAGTCTTTTCAATCTGTTAATTTTTCGTTTCATATATTTTTTACTTTTAGATGTCTATTATTTTACAATTTGCTACTTGGTGCTGAAAATGGGAATCTGTATTTTTTTTTTCCTCTCAGATTGGTCTTTGAATGATTGAACAATTTTGATGAAGATTATTAAGATTGAAGT